GGCGCGGAGAACCGCGAGGCCTGGGCTCCTGCCGATTCTACGGTGTTCCTCCGGCGCCCTCTGTCGGCACAGGGGAGACGTGCACTGGGCCCGGAGCTGCGCCATCACCCCACCCAGGGCCGCCTTTGGACACGAAAATCAGTTAATAACCGGCACTTGACTCATTCGCAGGAAATGTAGGAAAGCAGCCTGCTAAATTCAGAATGTGGGAAATCCTACAAACGACCAGGTTTCTTCAACAACAAAACGGTAAGAACGAAGTGGGGGAACTGCCAGGACAAAAAAGACTAAATGCAATGGGTCGTCCTTGTCTGGATTATGTTGTAAACAAACAAACAAAACCCAAACCAAAGCCCAACTGTAAAGCACCACGAGAAATGTTAACACCCAGAGGATACTCGATATTAAGGAAATGTCCGCTTGGTAATGGCGTTATGGCTGGGTGCCCCCAGGTGAAATGTTTGTGGATGCAGGAAGTCTGGGGTTCGCTTCTCAATAACCCGGGGAACGGGTGTTTACTGGTAAAACATGGGCGGCCACAACAGGTCATTGTTCAAGCCGGGTTCTGGGTTCTGGACTAATGTATTTGAAATTTTCATTCTAAGACCACAAAAACCCCTCCCCCAGCCATAAAAATAAAGAGAGTACCACTCACCTCAACATTAGGGGCTCTACGTGCCGGGCCAGGCGGAGAGGGAGGTGGGAAGCCGGGCTCGAGGGCGGCCACACCGGCTCCGGGACGGAATACGCCGACGGGCAGCGTTCCAGTCGGATCCCGAGAAGCGTGTTTCCGACGCCCCTTCTCTCGCCTTAAATCTGCGCGACCAGGCGCAAAGCCTCCTGGGTAAGCACGTGCTGGAGTGCACGCACCTGGGTGGGCTCCTGGCTCCCTTGCTAGCAGCGCGGTGACCAGGCCAAGCTACTCAGCCTCTAGTTCCCACCTTGAAGGGATTACATGAGTAACATGTGTTACCCGTTTAGGAGCGTGCCCGGCCCATGGTTAAATACTGAGTGATTTTTTAAAATTTCAACAAATTCTATTTAACACTCTTGACAGAATGGAGCTAAGGTTTTAAAAAGGAGAGACGGGAGAAAAGATGTCAGTGAAGAACAAAGGAATATAGTGGAGGCTTGCAGCCTGCTTTCACCCCCATCACCAAGGAGTTCCCGACTTCCATGTTTTATTCCGTCTCTAATTAAAAGCATCAATTTGAACTGTAAAATCAGAGAAACCCGGGAAGAAAACCACAATAGTCCCAGCAAGGTAAAGCCTAAGACAAGCCCCCGAGGATTCCTCCGCGGGCCCATTAGAAAGGACGATAGAGCGTCGGCCTGCGGACTGAAAGGTCCCAGGTTCGATTCCGGTCAAGGGCATGTACCTGGGTTGCGGGCACATCCCCAGTGAGGAGTGTGCAGGAGGCAGCTGGTCGATGTTTCTCTCTCATCAGTGTTTCTAACTCTCTATCTCTCTCCTCTTTGTAAAAACTCAATAAAATATATTAAAAAAAAAAAAGAAAGGACGCTTCGGTGCAACCCACCCGACCCTCAACAGGGAGCAGCTGGTGAGGGAACCACACCGGCTCCGAGATCCAGTTCCCAAGGCGAGCAGCTGCTGAGCTCATCTCCGGAGAGTTAGTTATGCTTCATTCCCAGTCACAGGGAGAACTACACCCAGAGGTGGTAACTGGGCAATATGAAGGGCAAATTAAGAGTAGCCGGGCGTAGTGTAAGGCAATGTACATTTACGGTGAGTGAGCTCTGGAATGGTCAGACTCAATGTCAAGACACAAGTCCAACAGAATAAAATTATTGTATAGAGAAGGAAAACCGAAGTAGTTACAGGAATTATATTGATGGTGAGGTAGTTGTCTAAGAAATGACAGAGGAAATATTAAAATCGGTCCTTACACTGATATTGAACTGTAAAAAAAAAAGGTGTACATAAAAATCAAAATAACTTCAGTATTTCAGCTTATAGGTCTTTCCCAATTTCGGTATTCATTTCCCTCCATTTAACATATTCAGGCATGCGTTTAGAAATATGATCATCCTTTCTGGGCTAAAAATACAATTGAAAGGATTTCCTACATACTGGAACTAGCCCTGTGAGTGTTTTAAGTCCTTACTAGGTCACTTGTCATAACCCATTGGTTCCCAAACTTTGCTGGGAATTAACTAGGGAATTTTCTTTTTTTAAATCCTTGTGTTCAGGTCACATTCCATATTAATGAAATCAGAATGTCTAGGGATGGGAGTTAGGCCTCAGTATTTTCTTTAATCTTTTAATTAAATGTAGAGAAACATTAATTTGTTGTTCCACTTATTTGCATGTGCCCTGACCGGGGATCAAACTTGCAACCTGGGCGTACTGGGACAACACTCTAACCAACTAAGCTACTTGGCCAGGGAGGCCTCATTAATTTTTAAAAGACCTCCAGATTATTCCAAAATACAGCCATTTGAAAACCAGGTAAGTAACCAGTTAAATTGCCCCACTTCTCATGAAGAAAATTGCTCATACATGATAAAAACTTTAGCTGCAGTCTTTTAAAGGGATAGTATACTATCTAAACTTTAGATTTAAAAAGGAAGACAGAGTCTCCGTCCTTAACACCCTTACCGCCCAGAGGTGGTAATAATTGAGTTTCCATACACTAACATTCGAAACAAGTTTTATACTATTTTTGTAAATCTTGACTCCTCGTACCACAATAATTTAAAAATCAAAGTTTTCCCAGGGGAGGGAGTAAAATCATCCAGGGTTAAGTGATGACAGAAAATTACTGCCAGATACTTTGTCAGAACAAGGCAAGAAAAGGTCAAATACACTGGTTCAAAATAGGATACCTTCAGAGTTGAGGTCAAATTGCTCAGGTCTAAAGAAAAACAAAATGTCTTTCAGAAGACCATGTTTCTGACATCACTGCAAATTTAGAATGTCACACTAAATATTTGTTGACTCTGCTACCATTTTTAGTAAGTGACTGCCTCCTACATAGTTACTAACCCAACTCCATTACCAAAAACGATTTGAAATATATTTTCTCTAGGTTATAAATTTAGGGACTACAATTTAGACTAAATCCCAAAATTTAAAATGGCTGTTCACTGACAAACCCATAAGCTTCTCAAAGGACAAGGTCTCAAATTGTTAGTCTACATAGTCAAGGTCGCAGATTCCCTTGCCAGGGTTTGAGATAACACAATTTAATACAGTAACGAAGACAAAACTACATTTCAATGATTTCTCTCTGGAAAGACTGTTTATCACAGCGTGGCAGCCACTTTCATCCCAGGTCTCCCTTTTTAACATTATCCAAACATAGTTCCCTCCTGAGAGGACAATATTACCATCCTCCTACAGCAGACGCGTGCCATTCATTCACCATTTTCAAAGACAGACAGTAGGTCATGGGTTACGAATAAAAACTATCAGACTCCAAAATCCAGTCACTTTTTATTGACTTTGTTAATGTTACAAGAGTTCTTGCACTGCCAAACCATGCCTGAGAATTCAAAGAAAGAAATGGTACAATGGACATCCTCTCCACCCATCATACAGCATATTAAAACTTGATTCATGTGCATTTTGACAATTTCACAATCTTTTAAAAAGTTGTAACAAGAGTTGGTTTTAAATCTCCTGCAGGTCTTGTTTTCTGGTACAGGAAGCCATAAATAAGTTCCACATACCCATCCAGTTCATTCCTCAGTAACATAACCCTCAACAAAATTCTGCTGGAAAAAAACGCGTACTTTTCAGGGAAAATATGTGGCTCAAGGTCCAAGAGATTTGTTAAGATTTTTGGTTCCCAAATGAAGTCTTCAGTTTAACCAAGAATCCCTTATTTCTCGCTTAATCATCCAACCTCTCCTTGGTCTGCTCAGCAACTCGCCCAAACACATCCGAAGGCAGGCATCCCAGCCCACCGCCTCGGAGAACACCAACATTATTGCCCAGGAATGGTTGGCAGTCCTGTCAGGAGATCTGGAACCCCCCAGGAGTCCGATTCCTGTGTTGACACTTTTATCAAGACTAAACTCCCACAGAAATATGCTCCCGTATCAGGACAGTTTTACTCACCCGCTTGCTTCACTCTTGCCAGTAGCAAATCTGCAACTCCCCCCATTTGGCAAAGGGATTTATTACAGAGAAACCAGCTTTTTC